GGAAGGCATTGGGAAGGGTGGGTGGGGAGGGAGAAGGGAATTAAGGGGCATTTGGCAATCACAATATAGGTAGGTCTCTGGCAAGGCAGTATGGCATGGAGAAGACAAGTAATGACTCTGTAGCATCTTACTACACTGATAGACAGTGACTGCACAGGGGGGTGAGGACTTGATAATATGGGTGAATGCTGAAACCACATTCTTGGTCATGTGAAACCTTCATAAGATTGTATATCAATGATACTTTAATAAAAATATTCTTTGAGCTTATTATGGAAAAGAGGAATAGGGAAATCCAGGAGTGAGTCATCTACCCTTCCAGGTGCTCAGGTAAGAATTGTGTGTGTTTCCCTCCCATTTGTGTAGATAGACCACCTGGAAATAACTGTCCTCTTTCAGAAACTTACAGAAATTTATAGTGGACTGAAAATAAAATGACACTGATGGCTAAAATCGACAGCATCTCCTATCAGATTCTAACATAGACAAGTGATAAAAATTACCAGAAGGTTTAAGAAAAATGAATAGTTACTGAGTAGGTAGTGTGTGCCAGGGGACACAAAGATGATTCAGATACACTCCTGCCTACCCCCAAGGAGCTTACAGTCTGGTGGGGAAGATAGCCATGGAAACAGACAACCACAAATATTATCATCAATCCACTAACAGTAAAGTGTGCTAGGTACAAAGGCATCAGGGAGGAGGGAGCCAATAAGTGTAGTAGCAGAAGAGGGACAATTTCTGAGCTGGGTTCTGGGGCATGAACAGGGGAGGAGGATAGGGCCCAGTAGAGAAACTTACAAGTGAGAAATGTTTCACAGCTAACTTTCTGTCCTGCTTAATAGAAGTACCTAGCTACTTGGATTCTAACAGGAAATAGGTTGGGCAAGCTTGCAACACTCGAGTCCTGTGGAGAAGAATTTGAGAACTCTTGGTTATTGGGACAGACAAGGAAACTCTGAGTGACAGGGACAGATGGCAGGAATGGAGATCAACATCTTCACAGGAGCAGAGCAGAGAGGCCCATTTAATGCCACAGGACCCATCACAGGCTACAGGCTCCCAAAGAGAAGGTGGAAGGAGGAGGAATGGCAGGAACACTTCATATCTGTCTTGGCCCTTGTCTGGAGCTCTCCTTCCCATTTTCCGTCCCCCTTGACAATGTTGTCTGCTCCTGAAGAGAGAGGCCACCATGGTAATGCAGAAAGATCCTGTGTTCTAAATCTGAAGGCCTGGGTTTGAATCTTATTAACTGTGATCTTGTGCCCAGCTTAGAGACTGAAGAGTGGCTTGGCATTCAAAACCCTTCTCCACCTGGCCCCAGTGACCCCACCAACCTCGGCTATAACACACCCCTTCTCAACCCAACAGCCAAGCACTTCTCTCAGGTTCTGTGCCTTCACAGACATTGCTCTCCCAGGCTGACATCTTTGCCCTCTCCCAAACTGGAGAATTCCCATTCGTCTTTGAAGGTATGACTCTAGCGTTACCACCTCCAGGAAGCCTTTCCTGACTGCTAGGTTAGCAACTGCCTGTGGGCCTCAAAACCCCAGAGCTTCCTCTACTCCAGCATCTGGAGTATATCTGCTCTTGCCCCTTATTATCTGTTCTCTACAGAACAGCCAAATGAACAACACAGGACTCATGGTTTCTCCCTGATTTAAACAAACAAACACTCTTCATTTCTTGGCTTAAAGAGCATAATCTTTACTGTGGCCTACCCAGTTCTGTGTGACCTCACCCCTGACTGCCTTTCTACATTCCCATTTCACTCTTTGCTCTCTCTACTTCAGCCAAACTTGCCTTTGTTTCTCTATGCATCATATTTCTCTCTCCCTCAGGACCTTTGCACTTGTTTTCTTGCCTCAACCTGGTTAATTTCTACTTATTCTTCAGAGTTCAGCTAAGACCTTCCTTCCTCTAGGAAAACATCCTTGTCCTACCCCCACCCAAGCTAGCAAGTGGTACCTACCACAACTGTAATGTTAGAGCTATTCATGAATGATTTATTACCTATCTCCGCCTACATAGGGACCATGCTGTCTTGTTAATTACTCTATTAAGAGGCACCTACAGTAGAACCTGGCATAGAACAGGGGTGCAAGAAGTGTTTGTTGAATGATTGTAGGAGTCTTAGCTCTAACCATATTACATGAAATCTACAGTTTACCTGGCTTCTCATAGCAGCCTGTGAAGAACTAGTATAGCATCAGTTCCCAGCACCATGCCTGACACTTAATGGGGCTCAGTAGGGCTTTTCTAAGTATGGGAGACACTGTGATGTGCCACCCAGATCCCCTATCAGTGAAGACTTGGGACGCCAGCTGCTGGGAGTGCTGTTAATTGAAAGCCTTTAACCATTAGCCCCTCTGAGGACGGGGCCACCTTGGCTCCTTTCCTGTGACTTACAACATCACCCCACATCCAAGAAGCGACAAAGGCCACCCTAGCCATTTAAGTTCATCTGGGGACAACTCTGACGGGCGATTTTAGCTTGAGTCCCTGTTGGATCAGCCAAGACCCTCCTTGGGCCTGCATGGGGCTCTGGACTTCTGCTCACTCCACTTCCCTCCCCTCCCTTCCACAGGTGTTGATCCCTCCTGTGTTGCCTGCACTGCAATCTCCACCTCAAAATCTGCTTCCCAGGAACCCAACCTTGAACAGGCCCCAGGTCTTCTCTTCCTCTCCTCCATGCTATCCCTTTCAGGGGGTGTTAATTCATTCACCTAAAGTTTGTAGGCAACACTCGGCTGATAAAGTGTTTCACATCCATTTTTCTATTACTCCTATTCTACGCTGTCTAGGTGTCTCAGGAAGGGAGGCTAGCCCCACTGAACAGATGGAGAAACCGAGACCCAGAGAGGAGGGACCAGCATAAAGACACAGCGCTCCTTAGAAACTGAGCCCTCACATGCAGGTTTTCACCTCCCTTTCCCTGCCAATTCCCCTGCATCCTGGAACAAAGGGGGAGCCTCCCTGAAGCAAATTCTGGTCTCGGGGTTCAGAATCCTGAAACCGTGGCCGTGGGGTCCGGGAAGGGGCGCGGGGTCCAATGCCCCGTTGTGCAAATGGGGAGACTGAGGCCCAGAGCCTGGCGCTCGAAGGGGGCGCGTCCTGCCTCCGGCCGCCCGGCGCGCCGCAGTCGCCTCCTTCCGCCCCCCACGCCGGGTCCCCCGCCTCGTTTTTGCTCTCACAACGCCGCCGCTTCTGAAGCGAGTCATGGTGGCTGCACTGGTGGCGGCGTGGCTGCTCCTGTCGGCTGTGGCCTGCGCGCAGCGGGAGCGGGACTTCTACGACTTCAAGGCGGTGAACATCCGGGGCAAGCTGGTGTCGCTGGAGAAGTACCGCGGGTCGGTGAGTGTCGCCCGCGGGGCCTCGGCGCGGTTCCGGTAGGGCCGCGTGGGGGGCATTCCGCGGCCCGGGCCCTGCCGGGTGTGGCTCCGGTTGAGAGGTCTCCGGCTGCCCGGCAGCCCTGCCCCGGCTCCTCACCCCAACCCAGGCACTTCCCTCGGGCGCGGCGCCCCCCGCTCCTGCGCTGGGTCTGTCCCATGACTACGTGGCGCAGCCCCGGCGCGCGGTGAAACCCTAAACTCGCAGCCGGCGCAGATTTCCGTCCCGGCGAGTTGGGGCAGCAAGTCCGGACCTCCCCCACAGGCTGGATGCCCTGGCCCAGCCTTTGTCGTGCACGGGTGGAAAAAGTAACCCTTGCAGTCTGCGGCCTTGGTCGCCCCTATCCCATTTCCGTCTGAAACAGGGGGAGTTGGGGATACTGAGTTCAACGAGAACACTGTGAAAGGGAGAGTTCTCATTTTATATCACGGGGACCTTACACAGATCATTCTTTAAAGAAGACACCACTGTGCAGAGAGGGAATGTTTTTGCCCAGGGTCACACAGCGCTGGAAAGCAGAGTCTGGAGAACTGTTAGGCAGGAAAATAGATATGAGCGGGGTGGAGAGAGAATTAAGGCCAGTAAAGCCCACTACATGGGGCTCAGAGTTAACCAGTTAAAACTAGAGAGCCAGAGAAGACCCAGAGTTAATGAATTAATCAGTTGAAGCTCAAAAGGTCAGGAGCAACTTGGCCTGGGAATATTTGAATATTCCCCAGATAAAGGAGGGTATATCAGCATAGCCCATGTCTTTATTACCTTAATCATGCAGACCCAGCTTTTTTTTTTTTCCCAAGCAGGCCCAGCTTATTTTTTTAACTTTACCTATATGCTGTTTTTTCTCCTTCAGCTCTAATCAAGTAATTTGCAACATGGGCAACAATTCCACAACATAAACAGCTAAACAACATAGCTTTAAGCAACATAGTAAAAGGCAGGAAGGATTCCATCTTAAAGATAAGGTTGCATTTTAAAACCCAGAAGTTAAGAAGATTCTTAACTTAATCTTTAGCAAACAGACGATAACTCAGCCCACCTTGTAGGCCAGGCAGGTAGTCTTATTTGATATGTTCCCAGACAAGGAAGCAACTATCCCAGGAGGGAATCAGAACAGTAAATTTATTGTGCTAAGCTAATTTTGCAGAATTACCTGGAGGACTGATAAGAAAACTTAATGTCTCATCAAAGATAAACATCTGGAGACCACTTCATAAGTCCATACCCCTAGCCCTTTGTCACTTTCCTGAAAAAGTCCTTAAAAGGGGGAACCCCCAACCTTTCAGTGCACTCCTCTCAGGCTGCCTGCACTTTCTAAGTGCATAACCTTTTAACCTTAAACTTTCTCTCTTTAACCTTTCAGGGTGCCTCTCCCTCCCTGAGGTCGCCTGTACTTTTTCTCCATTTAAGTAACTTTAAATAAAACTTTTACTCTGTTTCACTACTGTGTCTGTGCCCTTCAATTCTTTGTTGTGGTGGGGACAAGAACCCAGGAAAATACACAACACCCCCCTAACAGAACCATCCATGATCTGCTCTTGGCAAATTCCTCAGATGGCAGTTCAGGCTAAGAAATGAGTCACCCAGGCTATCCTGACCTCCCTTCCAAGAGGGAATCTCAGCTCAGAGAGGACTTCAGAGAGGAAGTATGCCTGGGTGAGTGTATGAAATATGAGAGCCAAAGGAGCATTCCAGGCAAAAAGAACTGTCCATGCCAAGGCTCAGAAGCAAACTGCAGGAAAGGTACAGTGGAGGGATAGAGGGCACTTTAGATAGTTGTGCTCAAATAGTATAAAGCACAAGGCTAGGAATTGTGGATGAGGCTACAGAGGGTAGGGAGTGACCAAGAGGGGCCTTAGACACTGCATTCAGAGGCCTAGATATTGCACTGTGTGTAGTGAAGAGCCATCCAATTCCACTTCTCAAGATGGCCCTAGGGCCTTGGTATGGGAAGGCTGGGACTTGGGCTCTAACAGACAGGTGGACCCAGCATCTAGATTTGGATAGACCACACAAAAATGGCTATTAGCATTCTTATTCTGAGAGCAAGGCCATCCTAAGTGAATAAGGTGCTTTCTAAATTTGAAATTCTCAATTATGCTGAAAGTCCTGGAGGAAGTAATCCTTTCCTGACTGTCCCCCACAGTATTGTGTCTTTCAAAGGAAATGACATTGTGAAATTGTCAGGAAATCCAATCCAGGGAGGTCTCCCTGCCCTCTAGGTGAAACTTCAACCCAGAAGAAGGTTGTTAACTCTGATCAGGAAAGAATTCATGCACAGGTCAAGTAGGTATAAGCAAAGAGTATTTTAATAAAGCAAAAGTACACACTCAGGGAGGGAGTGTGGGCATGCTGGAAAGGTGAGCAGCATGGTGGGGTTTGGGTTGGGTGGGGTCTTCTAGCTAGTGTTTAAGCAGGGTGGAACATTCATCCTGATTAATAGGGTTTACTTCGAATAGGAATGGGATTTCCTGGAAATAGGGTGACTCCCTCTTTTGGTCCTCAGAACTGTCATTGTGCCAAGGGGTGTGATTTTTAGTATGCTAATGAGCATATAATGTATTTTGAGATGAAGTCAGTGTCAACTTCTCCTCCATGTTGGGACCAGTCTTGGCTGGCCTATTATCTATATGTTCTTACTCCCCACATCCCAGGAGAACAGTTTACTCGGAATGTTTAGGATGTAAACAAGCATTGAGTCGAATATAAACACCAGCCAAAGTCAACAATAGCTGAAGTCCCCCTCCCTGCTCATGCCTGGCTCTCTGCCTACCCTTGCACAGGCACCTGGTGCTCTGAACCTGCGTTTGGTGAGCCCCAGCAGGAACCTCATGCAGGACTCAGGGCAAAGAGCCAGTAAGAGCAGGACCCATTCATTCCCATTCTGGCCTCTCCTTCCCTGTAGTGCAGCTTGCCAGAGAGCCCCAGGTTGAGCACTCGACCAGTTCTGCTGCTCATTAATTCATTATTTATTATTGAACACCTACCATATACTTAGTACTAGACTGGCCTTGGCAATACAGACAAGTTCCCACTTCAACAGCGCTTATATGAGGTGGAGAGGAGAGAGATAATAAGGAACAGAGAAATGAAGAAAGCAATTCGTAGTAGTAATAAGTGCCAAGACAAAAATGGAACAAATGTCTATTTGTTTTCAGAAGTAAGGCATCCAGGATATGAGGAAAAGAAATCCTAGAGAAAAATTACCCAGAGAAGTAGTCCCAGAATTGTTTTAATTCTCCAAGTCACTGTTAAATCCTAAAAAGCATGGGAGCAAGAGGCCATGAAATCAATCAGAAAGAAATTGGAAAAAAAAAAAAAAAAGAACAAAGTCATACAGCTACTAAGAAGTAGAGTGAGAATTTGAACCCAGGCAGTCCAGCTCCAAAGCCCCTATCCTTAACTGCCAGGAACAGTCAGTCCAAGGAAGCTGTAAATGATGGGCTACGTGTTCACCCACGCCAGGTCTGAGACTTGGCTACTCTGGTCATTCATTCAACTGCAAATAGTTACTAGCTCATTCTGTGTCTTATACCACACTTTTTTAATTGAAAAAAAAATTTACTGGCTTTCACCACATGCCTGGCACTGGGTCCAACCCTGGAGACACAGCCATGAGCAAGATAAATGGTTTATGCCCTGAAGCTAACTGAGAAGACAGTCATTTAGACCAGTGTTGAGAATGGATGACTGTGTAACCGTCTGGGAATGTGCTTGCCTGTACTTCGAGGTTATCCCTGTTTATATATATAAATGTAAATTAACTGCATGTATCTGGGTGTGGCTATATCGGTCACTATGGTGATAAGCTTTGGGATTTCAGGCATGGAACTAGAAGCAAGATTTCCCTCTTTCCAAAAGAGTGGGTAAGCATAATGTAGGTTAAAAATAAGCAACCTTTATGCTCTCATTGCCCAGAGACCTAGCAGAAAAGAAAGAGGAAGACCCCTAACTGCGGAAGGGAGTTAAGGACCCCAGCTTCTCATCACCACAGGCATAGTATGAAATATGCTGATGCTAGTGAGAGAGTTTGTTCTTACAGCCTGGGGTCCCAGGATCTGGGTCCTTCCTCATCTGGTGGAGGCAGTGTGAGGGAGTTGCAGCTCAGTTGTTCTCATCATGTAGCCCAGTGGTTCTCAACTGGGAACGACTTTGCTCCCCAGAGGACATCCCTCAATGACTGGAGACATTTTTGATTGTTCAGACTAGGCACCAAGTGGGTAGAGGCCAGGGACACCACTAAATATCCTACAATGAACAGGATAGCCCACTCACAAAATTGTTGGCCCAAACTGTCAATAGTGCTGAGTTTGAGAAACCCTGTCTAGCCTAAGTAGTTTTTGCTTGTGCATGTCCGGTGCCCCAGGCCACCCCAGGAGGTGGCCCTTTTTATGGAGCCAGTTGGTATTATTACAGCTCCTCTAAAAGTGACCAGAGAGACAGGGCTAGGCTGCCCAGACATAGGCTAAGATTTAAAATCCTTCAATAATATATAATTAGAGGCTGAAAACATAGCATTGGTGCCAAAATTCTAACTGCAGTATTATAATCAAGTGCTATCACCTAAAGGTGATCAATAAATTTATATAAATTATTATAAGGTGATAAATTTAAGGATAAAAAATTAGGTTAAAAAATAGATTTAAAAAAATTAGTGACTGAAGAAAGTGATATTTGTTTGCTGTACAGGGAGAGGGAAAAAGGGATTGCTCTGGGGCTCTTGGGGTCCTTTATCAAGAAAACCCGTATCTGTCTAGGTACCCAAGCAGGAGATTGTGTATGTATGCACACTTATTTATTCATTCAGCAGACACTTTCTGAGACTTTTCCATATGTCAGGCCCAGGGATGAAGTGGACGTACCTCCTGCCCTCAATGAGTTCACGTTCTAGAAGGGAGACAACACATACACAGGCAACTAGAGTGTAGTGTGATGAAAGCCAGCTAACTGAGCCAGAAATTGAACCCAGGTCTGCCTTTCTATTCCCCCAAATCACTTCCTGATATGAGCTCATCAATGTATGTGCCTCTGTCTGTGAATATGTTGTGTTGTTGTGTGTGTTTGTGGGCATGTATGGAGTGTGTTAACATATCTTTGTATCATGGGGCATGTGCATACCCATTATGTGCACTGTATGCTTATTTTCATGAATGTTCATGTGTGTATATGCATGTATAAGGCCCTGTATTTGATTTCATTTGTGCCTGTGCGCATGTATTTGTGAGATCATTGCACACATTTACATATGTGTACATTGTGTTCTTGTATGTATAAGAGCATTAATTGTTGGAGGATCACATGTGGCCATGTCATAGCACATATGAGTGCATGCCTCTTCACCAAGTTATGTATGTGTCTGGGTTTTGTTTTCACCACCCAGGTTTCCCTGGTGGTGAACGTGGCTAGTGAGTGCGGCTTCACAGACCAGCACTACCGGGCCTTGCAGCAGCTCCAGCGGGACCTGGGGCCCCACCACTTCAATGTACTTGCCTTCCCCTGCAACCAGTTTGGCCAGCAGGAGCCTGACAGCAATAAGGAGATTGAGAGCTTCGCCCGCCACACCTACAGTGTCTCTTTCCCCATGTTTAGCAAGGTTGCAGTCATCGGCACTGGTGCCCACCCTGCCTTCAAGTATCTGACACGTGAGTCCTGATCCTTTCCCCCACCTTCCCTCAGCTGGCTGAGGTCATATCTTCTTGGGCAACAGAAGCCACTGGCTAGTTGGGTGACCCGGGGCCCATTCCAGGTCCCTGCACGTGGGCTGATGGTCTGCTCCAGCACTAATCTTTGAGGATGAGCTGAGGGGTATTCCTGTTAAGAATATCTCCACCCCTGTGGCTTTGCAGTTTTCCCTCAGAGTTACCCCCACTGACTTCTCCAGGATCCGGTTTTCATATACAGTGGCTCCTAGAATGAAACTGCAGGTGCAGACAGGTACCACATGCCTGGAAAAGGCTGACCAAGACTGCTGACAGGCATCTCCTGGCCTGAGTTGGAGGCAAAGTCTGTAAGCTACAGGAGGCAAACGTCTGAGCTAAAATACCAGATCTTATTATTTCAGAAATAGATCCCTTTTCCAGCCCCCGAGCCTCTGAACCACAAAATGGAGTCATGGGCCAAGCTTGTCCTATGGTCCTATTTCCTCCCTTGGGCCCTTCTCTTCCTTTGGGGGCTCCATTTTGCCCTCTCCCACTCCATGATTCTGGCTGCCTTCAAATCCCTCACCCCCATTCCCAACTCATCCACCTGGGAGAGTAAATGAGAAAAACAGCAAACAAAGGTCCCTTACTGAGGCAGATTTGATTTTTGCCCTATGGGTCAATCCTAATATTTGCTCCTTTTTCCTGTATGTTTTTATTAGTACCCTCCTACTTCCCATAGGTTTTGTTTTCACCACCCAGGTTTCCCTGGGTTATAGATCAAACCCAGCCGTGCTTTAGAAATACCTGGAAAGCTCTTAAAAATGCAATAGCCTGAGGCCTACTAAAGCAGGGCCCAAGAATCTATTCATTTTAAGCACACCCCAATCCCCACCCCCACCACAATGATTTCACGTGCACCGAATCCATAGATTAACATTTGGAGACCATTAAGATTTCATTGGAGAATAGGGTGTAGACTATTTAGTTTATGGTCATTAATAAAGGAGGATCTGATACTGCTTTATCAACTTCACAGAATCCTAAAGCAGTAGTTCTCAACCTTGGCACCACATTGGAATCTCCTGGGCAGCTTTTGAAAAATACTAATGCCTGAGTCTTACCCCCAGAGATTCTGATTTAAGTGTTCTCGAGTGTGGACTGGCATCAGGATTTTAGAAAGCTCTCTAGTTAATTCTAACTAATAGAACCACTGCTTCAAGGGAAGGATGGACACTGATAGTGGAATTCCAGGGGAGAATACACAGGTACACACACTTAGCTCTCCTTCTTCCTTTTTCTCTAGAGACTTCTGGGAAGGAGCCCACATGGAACTTCTGGAAGTACCTAGTGACCCCAGATGGAAAAGTAGTAGAGGCTTGGGACTCAACCGTGTCAGTAGAGGAGATCAGGCCCCAGATCACAGCGCTTGTGAGGAAGCTCATCCTGAAGAAGCGGGAAGACTTATGACCATTTTTCCTCCTCCCCCACTGTCCCCTTCCCCCGACTTTGCACGGGTGACCAAAGCAAACTCAAATGGTGCTTCAGAGGAAGAGACTATTGACTCTCCTTCCTCCACTCTTACTTACCCCACTTACACCGTAACTCCTGTGGGATGGAAATTCTAGTATTTTGATTATTTGAATCTTAGAGGCATCCTATAGTAACTCCTGGCCAATGAGAGCTCTTGACCAATGAATCGCCAGCCAATAAGGACTTCTAGCCCAATAAAACATGTGGCAAATAATGGTATCAAAACAATAATCTCCTACCTATGAAGAACTCTGTAAAATGGGGCCAATTCCTACCTCACAGGGCTGTTGTGAGGGTTAGGATAAAATACCTGCAAAGGTGCCTAGGGCAGTGCCAGCTAACTAGAAGACATTTAATAAATGTTTTTTGCATATAAACTAAACTGTGATCAATAAAAACTTGGACCCAACATGAATTTCCAACCAGTAAGAATCCTGGTCAAACATTTATTTGTTGTTGTTCTTTTCCTCTATTGTTTGTTAATTACAAAAGTAATGCAAATGGAAAGGGGGGTGCCTCAAGATGGTGGAATAGGAAGGCAAGATGGAAACCCCCTCCCACACACATACAAAGGGAGCGACTAAAGCAAATACAACCAAGCCTGAAAACAAACTGAGGACTGCAGAACACATCACCCACACCTGGGGAAGAAGAGAAGACCACACAGAAAAGGATAACGTGGCATAGCCACCACCAAGTGGGACCGCAGCCCTTCCCCCATCCCAGCCCACAGGCTCAGGCGGAAGAGGAGAGGAGTGGGGAAGGGATAAGTGCCCAGGAACTCTGCACATCTGGAGATCTGCTCTGGAAACATGAGTCCACATTGTATTGGGTTCTGGTGATTAGCAGGACTAGACACCAGGGATGTTGGAACAGTCTGAGAGGCTGAGACTCCAGCTGCCTGTGGAGGACAGGCACCCCAAGACCCAACACAGAGGCAGCAGTTTGAAAGACTTGGCAGCAGTGGGAGGGGAGCCAGAGGGGTGAGGGTTGGACAGTGCTGTCCCTGCAGGAGAAAGAGCAGGTGGACGATACCTGCCTGGCATGTCAAGCACTCTCAGGAGTTCCAGGTACTCCATCCCCCTCGCTGGCAGCTTATTCCCAAGGTTCCTCCCTGAGCACCACCAATGCACCAGTCCACTTGACCCAGCAGCGCCTGACGTTGCTGCTTGGCAAGCACAGGGAGACTTTCTCGGCTTTCACGGCCCTGATTCAGCTCAACTGGGGAGAAACCTGCAGGAACCAGCTCCAAAAGCTCCTTTTTTCCCATGGGAGGCCTCAACTGCTGCTAGGGGGTGCCCGCAAGCAACTGCAGCAACTGTGTGCCAGTGCAGTGTGACTAGATGCATCTGCTGCCTGGCATAGCCTCCAACCACCCTACTTGCTACCACCAACTAGCCCACGCACCCCTCCCCTAACCCTTCCCAACACACATGTTGCCACCACCACAGGCCCACAGGCCCATCCACCATGTGACTCACTGCATAAGCACAACCATGCCCTCCCAACACGTGGCTTGCTGCCACTGCTGAGCATCCAGGGGTCTGAAACTGGGTGACTTGCCACCCCTGCAAGCCCATGCCACCTACCATTGTGCAATTCGCCCTGCAAGCAACCTACCCACCCACTAACCCAGCAGCCCTGCCATCACTGTAGAGTAGGCAGAGGGCAGCTTACCCACAATGATCCCAGCAGAAACCACTGCTCTGATCACATAGGCCTGGCTGAGGCAAACCACCAGCTTCAATGGACTGAGATAAACCACTGCCAACAGACAGACAGAAAGATGACCCCACACATTGCCTGCCAACAGCAACTCCAAAGCAAAGGAGAAGAGGGGAGTCCTTGCTGGAGGTTAAAAAAATATTTTCTATTTACACACTTAGACACACAAACATACAGACTGAGATGCAATGACTACAGTTAGCAACACTTTTCACAAAAGAACATATACACAGACAGACAAACTGACACAAATATTTGAGTTACTAATATTCAATTGCCTTCTTTCTTTTTAGCTTACTTGATTACAGATACCTTAAAATCTGGAGGCTTTTTAACTAGTTGAGCAGCACCTATTCTAAAAGGATTATATTGGGCTGTAGTTTCCCCAAAATTCTCTTTTTTTTCTGGAGTTAATCTTTCATCATAAGGGGAGGCAGAGGCCAGCATCACTCAAGGTTTTGTTACAGAGAGTAGCAGTGTCATCCATCTATTAGATAAGGTCTCTAACAATGTCAAAGTGTAAGGTGTCAAGGGACCATAGTCTTTGCAGGCAATCTTTAATTCTTTTAATAATTTATATGGGATGGGCTCCCAGGATACACTTTCATCATCAAATTCTCCTCCAAAAATAATAGGGTAACACATAAATTCTGTGTCTCCTTCTAGTTCTGCTTGCTTTAAGGCAGCCCTTATTCCAGTAGGGGTCTTTTGATCAAATCTGTGCTGTTTAAGTTCTAAAACCTCCTCGATTAAATTCCACAATGCAAAGGCATCTGTAGGGACCTTCTCACATCCGTGGCTGGCATAATGTTTTTATTTCTTCTCCAACCTTCTGCCCGGTTGCGAGACTCACTGTGCCTTGGTCAGGAAACCAAGGACAACAATCTTGGACAAAATGTAAGAATTTTGCTAATTGTCCATTGGTGACTTATTCCTCTACCTACAAGCATATGCATTAAAACTTCAATAAAGAGTCCTCTTTCTTTAGACTCAGTATGGCCCATAGCTTCTGGATTCCTTGCCCTTTCTCACTTTGTCTCGTTGTACAAAGGGGTCTGCAGCACCCTGGTGAAAGATCCTATCTGTCTGTCCTCGCAGACAATCTTACCTTTCGAGCCCCACGTTGGGCGCCAATTGCCAGAGTCCAGCTCCAGCGGGGGGGTGTGAAGCCCGAAAGGATGAGACGGAGTCGGTGCATGGAGAGACAAGACACAGAGTCAGATGGAGGTGGTCTCTCGACAAAGTGCCGATGACAGCTTTATTTATACCATTTTGCACAAGGATTATTTTTTATTGTTCTGTTGATTAATTGGTATAGGCAGTTGATTAATAGGTATAGGCAAGCTTTTTTCCTTCTTCTTCTTTCTAATCTATTCACGGTTGGTCAAGTGTTAGACAGGTGATTGTTTTCTGTTCCTTGACAGAAATTTTTCTTAGCAACATGTACTCTTTTATGTTTTACGTTTCTATGCGACACAGTTTCTAAGTAGTGCATGTGACTGCAGGAGCGTGCAGTATGTAGCAGTGACTATGGAGTCTATCAGCTCAGGGTGAAATACAGGTCACCTACTGCCACAGTTAGCTATGATTCTTTCTCACAAAAATATTCTTAGAGGCTTTAATAAATTTATAATCAATCTAAAATCATAAATTCATATCTTCATTATATACCTCTTTATAGGGCACAGTAAGCAGCAAACTAAATTCCCCCTTCTTATCTACATTTCTGTTTCTTCTGTGTGGATACCAAAATCTCCCTGACATATAATACACAAGTCTCCATGACTCCACTACTGCAGGGACTAAACAAGTTTTTTTACATGGTAAACCATGCAAGGGCATTCATATCATAGAAACTTTCTGTTTTGACTACAAATCTTAAACTATAAACAATCAAGTCAAACATGATGTATGATTATTCATTTGATTTTTATACTTTATATGGGAATCCCACATTTTCTCCTTTACGTTTCTCATAAAATGTTGATGTAGTAGGTAGTTGCAAGGTATAGATAGAAAGCATGATTTAGTAAGAGGGCAAGTGTAGATGATCAGGTCTGTGCCTATAGACTAGGTATCAATCCAAGCTGGACAAGGACAACAAAACATCCATGGGTGTAGTCAATTTCTCTTAACACTGAGGGGGGTGTGCAGTTCTAAGCCTCACCTCTGTTGGCCCCCATTTTCTCACCTGATGGGCCTCCTGCGACTGTGCCTGTCTTAGGTTGTTCCTCCCTTGAGGAATCTTACCCGTCTCTGGCTAACCAGCCATCTTCCAGGGCCATACAGGGAGATGTAAAGCTGGTAAGTGAGAGAGAAGCAGTATTCTTTGAAAATGTTAGCTTTTCACTTCTTTGCAGATTTATGCCCTGTGGCTTTCAGGCCCAGCACTTGTCTTGAGGTATCTTTACCTCTTGGAAAAATTATGGTACTCTGTAATTCCAAATATGAGGCACAGGTTCTAGTAAAAGGCTGTAATTAGGAAGGAAGAAGAAAAGCTATAGAAGTAGCAGATGGAAGGAAACATGAGAAGATGGATTAAGTGTCAAACAGGGCTATTCTATTCGATATTCCCTCATAACTCTATTTCTCTAATTTTCTTATAAAACTCTTCATCACTAATTTCACTAGCATTATAAGGAAAAGGGGGGCATTCCCACTTAGGTGGAGATGGGGTAGTCAGTGTCTGACTAGCTACCTGCAGGTTTTGGTATTCTATGCCAAGATCACCATCTGGCCCCTGCGTGTTCTATTCTTCAGGAGCACTGTTCTGAAAAGCTTTTGGGAAGTTTATGTTCTCCTCCTTTCCATGCTGCTTATCAAAGGTTAGCTTAGTCTTTGGCAAAAATGCAAGCAAAAGCAAAGCCAACAGTATAATGGAGAATAACAAAATCAAGGTGGGTAAAATAGGGGGAGCCAGCTGCAAAGGCCCTTGATTTTTGGGGGTCTTCCTTCAGCCTGAGCTTTGCTACACAGCTTGAGTAGCATGGCTCCCAGCAAGTCCTGACCTTATGGGCACCACAGGATGCCTTCTTCACAAAACCATTACTCCCTAGATCGGGAAGCATAGCAGATCCATCTAATAGAGAGGAAGAAACACAGAAACCCTGACAAAATGAGGAGGCAGAGGAATATGCTCCAAACAAAACTGAAGGATAAGACACCAGAAAGAGGGATAAATGAAATGGAATCACCAATCATCTTAATAAAGACTTCAAAGTAAAAATCATAAATATGCTCAATGATCTGCAGAAATGTATTAAAGATCTCAGGGAGGACTTCAACAAAGAGATGAAAGAGATAAAGAATACAGTAACTGAAATGAAACACAAAATGGAGGGAATGAATAACAAATTGCTGCAAGTAGAGACAATCAATGAGATGGAAATTAGAGAACAGGAACACTATGAAACTGAGGAGCAGAAAATGAAAAGATATTTAGGAATGAAAGAATGATAAGAGAGCTGTGTGACTAATCCAAATGAAACAATATTTGCATAATAGGGGTACCAGAAGGAGAAGAGAGAGACAAAAGGATAAAGTCTCTTTGAGGAAATAATTGTTGAAAACTTCCCCAATGTGGGGAAGGAAATAGGCACTCAGGTCATGGAAGTATGGAGATCCCATAACAAAAGGAACCCCAGGAAGACAACACCAAGACACATAAAAATAAAAATGGCAAAGATCAAGGATAAGAGAGTATTGAAAGCAGCCAGAGAGA